ACAAATTAAAAGGTGAAATGTTTGGGGAAAAAAGTCCAGGTAACAATATTCTTTATAAATCTATAACTGAAGGAACCTTAGCTGGTTGCTCTACAAGATGTTGAAGCAGGCACTACTGTTGGTGACCACATCCATCTACTTCAGTTATATTTAACACAAGGAAGGCAAAGGCAACTGTACTCAGGCCTGCTGTATAGGCACTGAGATGTAAATTAATGGCAAATATAGGAAGTTGTCTTTAAGAATGTTTTGCCCATTAGAGATCTTCATTTCTAACTGAAATACAGTTAGAATGTTTTTGAAATCTTAATCATTTTCTGACAGGAGAGGGCAGGCTGATTTCTGCTTGGCTCCCTGCCAGAACTGTAATTCTTGTGGAATATAGAACCTGTTTGTTACTTGTTAAAAATGGTTAGAAATTTTTGTTCATTATCACTGTTGAAGAGTTTTCTTAATATTTCCTCTAGTAATCTCAGCAGCTTTTTATTCTCCAGTAATGCTTTTCTTTTTAAACTGGCATTCTGAAATATCAAAGTCAAGAGTTAGAGGAGCTTATTATAGCTTTCACTCAACTAGCAATGTGGGCTGACATTTCAGAACATCTAAATTAGGCATAAACTGTGCTCAGGATTTGGACATGGTGCACATCTGAGTACAGGGGTAATTCTGGGCACTCTTGACTTTTACTGTGATTGACACTTCAAGTTAGTATGTTCATGTTAATCATTTTCATTTCATTTAGTTAGATTGACAGTGAGTCCCAGTGAGTAGAGGGCCAAAGCTTACTCCCCTAGTGGAAGTCAATATAGTAATTCTTTTACTGTTTACCAGGCACATACTCTCATGTGACTTTACTAAGCGACGAAATGGGAACAAACACAGTTTCTTTCTAATTAATAAAAAGATAGTTAAAAAAGTGATTTTAGCTCTTTATTATAGTTTTCTATTAATTTTATTAACAGTATCATTAATCTCTCTTGTCTTTTTGTTGTTCCTTAGTTTTCATGGGGAATACCCTATTACATATTTCAGATACACACACACACACACATTTTAAGATTTACCACTACATATTTACAACCTTGTTTTGCTGGCTGCCCTGTTACTCACCTTATGATGACAGTCTTGGAAATAAATAGGTGAAAACATTCTTTATTCTTCTATGAAGTAAAGAAGTTTGAAGATAGTCTGACTGGGGATATTACTGGTTAATCAGTCTATACTTCCCCTCCCTGGAATGGTCCCAGGGTTTTGCTCTGCACTTGTTGACCATACGCACCAGCAGTTTGTGCCATTTTGAACTTGTGGTTCATATTACTGAGAAAAGTTCTCATACTGGCATCCAGTCTTCTTTTGCTTTGCTTGCTGCTTGGAAAGACTGGGAAAGATGTCTATTGGTGTGAGAAGTTCGGTTTATTTGTATCTGCTTTGTGATTAAAATTCCATAATAATATGTCAAAGATACACTGATAGAAGAATAGAAATTTACAAACCCTATTTACTGTTGGGAAAGTGAGGTGACTTTTTAAAAGTATTGGACAACATCGAGAACTTTGTCTCATCATCCATCCTGTGAGAGTTCTGTCTTTCTCCTACAGTTGGAGACTTCCACACGGAGTGCCAGGGACATGGTGGGCCTTTGGGTCTTCCATGCAGTGCTCCATGGGAAGCTCAAAGTGTAATGATGAGGGCTTTTTTTCTTTCTTTTACTTTTTTTTTTTTTTTTTTTTTTTATTTTTTTTTTTTTTTTTTTTTGAGACAGGGTCTCACTATGTAGTTCAGACTGCCCTGAAACTCACTATGTAGCGCAGGCTGTTCTGGAACTCACAGTAATCCTCCTGCCTCAGTATCCTGCTGGCATTACAGTTGCGCGTGCCACCACACCTGGTGAGTGCTTTTTTTTCTTAAGCTGCTTCCAAATTTGAATTTCAGGAGGAGGGCAATTGCTCACCTCAAGCAAGCGGACACTTTGTATTGACCTAGCCCATTATTTTAGCCTTTTGAAATTTAAATAGAGAAAAGTTTTTCTGTACTTCAAAGTAAAGAAAATAAACTTTGAAGTTTCCATGTTACTTGATGACCCAGTAAGTTAAGAAAGATGTGGAGGCTCCAATTCAAATTTGTAGAAGTAATGAAAAATATTTATACTGCTTTCTCTTCGTGGAGGTATTTTAGGGTTGGCTTTTTATTAGCTTTACTGATTCATGTTACCTGTTCTTTAATATCTACATTGTCTTATCACTGTCCTTATCATTGAGACAGAATATCTGACACTCGT